TATGAAGTGTATACTCAGTCCATATATGCTGACAATTGCTTGATATAATGATATTTAATGAGAATATCCCTGTAAACAATTTTCTGCTCTTTTGCTGTTCGGAAAGTGCTTGTAAGGAGAAACTAAGGAAGCATGTCTGTTAGAAGAAACATTGAGAAATGTTACAGTTCAAATGAAAGAATGAGCAAAAGATTTGGAATCTGAAATTCCTCTCACCAAACCAAGCTTATTTTTACTGTCTTGTATCTTTTTTTTACCTCTTCATATTAAATTGGAACATGAAAGAACTTTGTTTTATCAGTAATTATGAAATATAATTGTATTATTATCTGATGTCAGACTCTGATTTTCTCTCAATTGTTCCTCTCATTTACTAATAATTTAACTGAAGCCTCATCATAATTTCTGGTTTTTATTTTATTTAATAAATCAACTATTGTTTTTTTGTTATTATACAGATTTATTTGAAGTTGGGACTTCATCTTGTTTATTATATATCACCACCTTTCGGCTGCTGTACTCTTTGGCCTTGTTCAGCTGCTTGTTGTATTTAATAACTCAAAGTAGTTAGGTTTACTGGTCATCCAGTTCACACTCCTGTCCAGTCTTTTGAACAGGAGTAGAGGTTTATCCCTTGTTTACTGTTTAGGATTGGATTTCTTCTAAAGTCTTTTCCTTCTCTTTCACTTCCAGTTGCACCTTGTGTCTTAGTATTACCTTGCTTGGAGTGAATTGATCAAAAAAAAAGTACATTCTCAGTATTTCACACACTTTACAATCTAATCCTGGGTATGGAGATAAACTACATCCAGTAGCAAAGCCTCTGATCAGGAGATTGGAAGTTTTGAGAAGTGTGGAACAACATCTTAATTGCTGTTGCTCCCAGGTCTAGCCTGACATGGGGTGGTAGCACCTGTTAGGGTTCTAGCTATGGGCAAATAGTAAACAAAACAAAAAACAAAACACTATGAAAGTTTAAAAATACATTTTTATAGTAAAACACCAGCAATACATTTTTTATATAAAAGCTTGCCAATATATATATATATTTATAGTAAAATTACCAACAATACATTTTTTAAGTTGAACTACCAACAATACATTTTATCTGTAGTTGTAACCATAAAATTGTGTTCAAAATATTTAGATTTCAACATTAAATCATCCATAGAGACTGATATGCCGTTAAACAAAATTAGCCAACTTTATTCAGTCACAGGGATAGAGTCAGTTATGTGCCATGCGTGATATACGCTTAGGCGGTTATGTATCTTTTGATACATGACTGATGAGGCAGATTTTTCCTACAGTAGGTTGCTATTTCTTTCTGCAGTAGACCAGTTGTCATCCAAGGCTATACAACCCAGTCTATCCTGCTATTTATCCATAGCTGGGGGTAGAAGAAGAGGATTTATACCTTTCCCAAGGGTATTAGCACATAAGTGAATGTAATGGATTCGACTGAAATTTGAACACGGCTCTCCGATTCCTCAATCCAAGCTGCTATCCATTACTCCATCATGCCTCCTCGGGGATAGATAGTTCTCAATATGCTGTTTATGTTAGGGGAAATAATTCATCATTTAACTCTTCTACAATAATTTGTCTTTGTGATTCTGTCTTTTGCTTTCCACTGAAGGAAAATATACAGATTTCACTATCTGAACCAGGGATTGAACTGATATCCACCATGAAACGAAATCAATATATAATTAATTTACAGCATTAACTCAATTCTAATAAAAAACAAAATACAAAAAAATAAACACTTGACAAATTTGTGAAAAATTAACGCCTAATCATTTCATACTCTGTGAACTTGTCAACATTTTATAATTAAGATACTTTTCTTGTCCACCATATTGTTTTTGTGGTTGTCCCAAAGACATTGGATCTTATTATTGTACTTTCATATTTTTGCTGTTATTTTTTTTTTCACTTCATTGCTATATTTTATTATTTTTACCTGTATTGATATGATGTGTGTATATATTCATATCATGGCAGATGTTCAGGTGAAGTACATTCCTTAGTCCACACAGTCCAGTTGTTCATAGCTAGATCTGGCCATAATATATACACTGTCAATTCATCCACATTCCATTCATATTCCATTGGTAAAGAGGAAGTTCATCTCAGACAAAGCTCACAACTATATCACATTGAAATACCGGCTCTTGTTTGATCACTAAAGTTATGCAGAAATAGAGTATTTCTGCCATATGTGGGCTGGAGCTGTCCAGTCATCACTTTCCAACCTTGACAGAGTCCATCTGCCATACTCTATCTTTACAAGAGACAAATCAGACCAAAAATGAAGTAGTGCTGTCATATGTGGGCTGGAGCTACTCCTCACTTACCAATCTTGACAGAGTTCAAAATTGTTTACACAGCCTTATTGTTGAGGAATTATTTTCCACCTTACAACCCTATTCCACACGGACAAAATGTTGCTGCTCACTAACCTATTGCTGTTTTCATGGCAAATATTTGGGTTGACTGCATTCCTTGGTTCGACCAGTTCAGACCTTCACAGCTAAGTCATATCATGCCACGTTCACTGAGCTGACACATACCCAGTCCCTTTGTATTCACTGGTGTAGTTTCACAGATAGCTTCTTCCCCAGAACTGCTGCATTGTGGAACTGATTCCCAAGAGGATACTCCCCTGATTGCTACAATCTCTTCAAATCTAGGGTCATTTGCTATCTTACATATCCACAAAATAGACTTATGGCTACATCATGTTGTAACATCAATTGCCATACAATCATCCAAGTTAAGCAACATTGAGCCTGTTCAGTACCTAGGTGGGTGACTGCTTGGGAATACCAGGTGCTATAAGCTTGGATTTGTGGGCGGTGTAATGGATAATGGCTCAGAAGTTGAAATCAGAGAGCCAAGTTTGTTGGGTTTCTTATATTCACTTATACGCAGATACCCTTGGGATACATATGAGTCCACCACTTCTCCTCCAGCTATGAGTTAATTAGTAGGACTTGCATCAGTAAATCATTATCTACAAAATATTCTTACAATCTAGAAATATTCTCTGCCTTTAAATAACCTGCAAAACGTTGATGGGCCAAAAAAAGTAAATCAATCCACTCTTCCCCAGAACTGTGGCAATGTTGAACAAACTCCTGAGAGGATACAACCCTGATCGGTACAACCTTAACTTTTAGAAGTCTAGAGCCAACTATTATCTATCCTACATATTTCTGTATGCCTTCACAACAACCTCATTTAGTAAACCTTTAGTGACTCTTGGGCCTTGCATTAGATGAACAGTAGTAAAAAAAAAATGTGCAGATAACAAGGAAATTATTTGAAGATAATTTCTTATCTTGTATATCAGTGTATGATATGAAATCTTGCAAACTTTGAATAAAAACTGTAAAGACCATGCATATTGTTTTATAGCAACAGATATTAACTTCATTTTCAGTTAAAGGGTTGACTCAACAGTTACTACAAGGTGTGTCTATTCTCCATCATATAGAATTTAGTATTTTAAAAAGACAAAGATACAGTACAGAACATTTGAAATTTTCTTACCATCAAAACTAACAGATGAATGAGAAGTTCTCTAACAAAAACAGTTTGTGTAACATCTAAAAACACTGAGATTTACTACCTTTACATACATACATATACATATATATATATATATATATATATATATATATATATATATATATATATTTTTATTTATTCAAAAATTATAACATAAACATGTTATAACATCACTACAAAAATAGTGTCTGGTGTCTTCCCAACTGATAACACCATCACTTGAGAAGACACCAGAAGTGTTGAAACAAAATGGCTATTTTTGTAGTGATATTATAATTTTTGAAAATAATATTTGGTCTACTCTGTATTAAGCACTCTTTTAAGAATAGTGTTTTTGGTTATTGTAATTTTATTGTCTGCACTAATCCTATACTTGGATGGATATATATATATATATATATATATATATATATATAAGCAGTAAATTACTGATACCCACTGAAGAGTGGACAAGCAATCATCAACTTAAAAAATTAAGATTCATCAGAAAATTCAAATAGGAAAACCATGCCCTCCTTTAATTACTTTTTTAGTTCACACTGCCACTATGCCTTGCCCTTATTGTGTTGCTGGTCCTGCTGTCAAAAAATCAACTATGACAGAATATTATACTATAAAACACTCACTTAATATTTTTACCTTCCTTAAAACTATTAATTTCAATGAGGAATAGTAAAACCATGGAATTTCCATGGGTACAGCTATTTAAATATTCATCTACTGTCTTATATTTATGCTTTGTTTATATTAATTTCCAAGTTCAGGGAAAACATTAACTTAATCTACCTGACCCATTTTTTTGTAGAGAGTAGTTCTATTACTGAGCAAATCAACCTTGAGTTTGCTATGATGTTTTTGCTTTGAAGATCAAAAAATACAATAATTTTAATGTGAATTTTTGTATTTAATCTTCTTGGAAGAATTTCTTTCAAAAATTTGGTTCTTTATTAATGGCTTTAGCTGAAAAAGAATTCAGTTGGTCATAAACCAAAATTTCAAATATGCCAAACGAAGGCAAAAACTTCATCAGAGGATCAAGTACCTGCCTTTTGATTAATTCCTCCCCCCATACAAATCCCCCACCCCATTAAAATCATAATTTCCATTTAGTCTTCTCAAGGAAGTTTTAAAACTAAAAATGACAGATTTGTTCTTTTAAGCCTTTGTAGAATTCTGCATATAATTTTGACAGTGGTCATGACAATTGCAGGAATTAGTTGGCCATGAGAGAAGAGGCAAGCAGAGAGAGTGAGGTTGTTGAGCGCTTAAGTAATCTGCGGCTGATCAAGGACAATGTTAAGAGCTTGAACTGAGAAAATTCAGTTAATTTAACAATTTTATGCATTGAAAAGGAATTGGAAAGGAATGTTAATTGTGGTAAAGTTATTGATTTCTTATTGGCTGATCTGAAAGCCTGTACAATCATGTTGCATCAGACACACTTCATTTATTTCTATTCAGTCGTTTACTTTGTCTTTACCTCCCCTATCTCTCTCACTCTCATCTTCTGCCCTATCTCTTTTCTTCCTTTCTTCTCCCCTATCTTTCTTGTTCCTTTCTTCTACCCTGTCTCTCTTGTTCCTTTCTTCTACCCTTTCTCTCTTGTTCCTTTCTTCTACCCTGTCTCTCATGTTCCTTTCTTCTACCCTGTCTCTCTTGTTCCTTTCTTCTACCCTTTCTCTCTTATTCCTTTCTTCTACCCTTTCTCTCTTGTTCCTTTCTTCTACCCTGTCTCTCTTGTTCCTTTCTTCTACCCTTTCTCTCTTGTTCCTTTCTTCTACCCTTTCTCTCTTGTTCCTTTCTTCTACCCTGTCTCTCTTGTTCCTTTCTTCTACCCTTTCTCTCTTGTTCCTTTCTTCTACCCTTTCTCTCTTGTTCCTTTCTTCTACCCTTTCTCTCTTGTTCCTTTCTTCTACCCTGTCTCTCTTGTTCCTTTCTTCTACCCTGTCTCTCTTGTTCCTTTCTTCTACCCTTTCTCTCTTGTTCCTTTTCTTCCTGTCTCTCTGTTTCCTTTCTTCTACCCCTTTCTCTTTGTTCCTTTCTTCTACCCTTTCTCTCTTGTTCCCTTTCTTCTACCCTGTCTCTCTTATTCCTTTCTTCTACCCTGTCTCTCTTGTTTCCTTTCTTCTACCCTTTCTCTCTTGTTCCTTTCTTCTACCCTTTCTCTCTTGTTCCTTTCTTCTACCCTGTCTCTCTTGTTCCTTTCTTCTACCCTATCTCTCGTACCCTTCTACTTTATCCCTAACTCTTTTCTTCTATCCCTGCTTCTCTTTTTCTCCCATCTCTCTACATCTTCTCCCATCTCTCTCACTTCGCCAATCTCTCTACGTCTCTCTTCTTCTTCTCCCATCTCTCTACCCCCCCCCAACTCACTCTCTTCTTCTTCCCCATCTCTCTCACTCTCTTCTTCCGATCTCTTTTTCTCCCCAATCTTCTTCCGATCTCTTCTTCTCCCCGATCTCTCTGACCCTCTTCTTCTCCCCGATCTCTCTGACCCTCTTCTTCTCCCCGATCTCTCTCACTCTCTTCTTCTCCCTGATCTCTCTCACTCTCTTCTTCTCCCCAATCTCTCTCACTCGTTTCTTCTCCCCGATCTCTCTCACTCTCTTCTTCTCCCCAATCTCTCTCACTCTCTTCTTCTCCCCGATCTCTCTCACTCTCTTCTTCTCCCCGATCTCTCTCACTCTCTTCTTCTCCCCGATCTCTCTCACTCTCTTCTTCCCTATCTTTCTTTCTCTTTTTATTTTCCTTAAAACATTGTGTCACTCCCTTATTCTTTGATTGGCTTGTTTAAATATGGATTACAATTTTAAAAAACATCTAATCAGTGTTAGAAATCAAATCCTTTGAACTGTTACACTAATCCTTTGTTTTTCATGGATATTTCTTTCATTATTTTTTTATTATTCTTCAGTTGATGATAATCATCATCATATTATTGTTACTACTACACATTTCTGCTACTACTATTACTGTTTTTTTTACATTATTTATTCACTAATTTTTGTGTGTGTTATATTAATTGTGTTTTCACACCAGAAGAATTTGATAGCTCTTTCTGGTGATCAAGTGCTGGGGTTAGTCTCCTCTATTCTCCAGCACTCTCCTCAGTATTCTTTATTGTTATTTTTAAAAAAAATTTTATTATTATTATAATAATAATAATAATATGAATATTTACATCCATAATATCTGGTGGTTATCACTAAATATCAAGTGACAGAAACTTAGTATTCTAGTAGTATTTACTGACTTTTATTGGTGATTAATTGACAATGATAATCCAGCTCTCCGACCTGTATCTAAGCTGAAGTTAATAATCTTGTCATTGAGGTTGTTTCATTTGTTCTTGTGATTTCCAGTTCATCTCATTTTTTTTAACAAAGATCTTCAAGCTGTTTCAAGTGCTACAGTAATGATAGGCACAACTACCACAAGTAAGTAGTCTACTCCCTTCCCGGTCCCATTTGCCTTCAATATGTTCTGTGAGTGTCAAATTTTCCAAGCCTTTCTTCCTCAATATGTGCCCAAGAAATTTCAACTGTTTCTTTCTGATTTTGAGTATAAATGTCCTTTTCATTTCCATTTTCCTTCAGACTTCTTCATTTGCTTACATGTTCTGTGCCTGGTACTCTCAACATCCTCCTGTAGAAACACATTTCTGCTGTTTCTAGTTTTCTCTTCATCTGTGGGGAAATTGTCCAAAATTCACTGCCCGTGTATATATATATATATATATATATATATATATATATATATATATATTCTTCTTGAAAAATCCAAAGAAGAATCTGTAATGTTATTAGTCCTGACCTGGCATGTTGTCAGTTTCAGTCACTTTCCCACTGCTGTAATGTAGCTTTCCTGTGTCTTTTGTATAAATACATTAATGGTAATTTTTCTGAGGGAATTTCCTTTGTGGTACCTAGACTTTATAGACTTTATGAATTTAAGTGCAGTACTAGATTGGCAGCTAGGTCTCATCATTTTACAGTTGAAATGGTTAGATGTAACCATAAGTTTTATGCCGTTTCTTCTATCACACTTCCTACTTGTGGAACTTTCTTCTGACTTCTTGCTTTCCTGATAACTTTCATCTTTAAAAATTTAAATGTCATGTCAGTTATTATCTTCTGTCTTCTTAATTCCCATTCTTTTATTGTAATCTCTCCTTAATAGTATGTTTTTCTCATATTTACTAACACTCAGTTACCCCCCATCGGTGTCTTAGTGGTTTTATTGTCTTGCCTGGGGTGAAATGATTAAAAAAAGAGAAAAAATATATATTGCAGTTTGGAAGTCATTGTTCTTTTTCTAACTTAATTTTACTGCTGTTTTGATGCTTTAATTAACAAAATCAAATATTACTAAATCAGACTTTGATGTAGTATTATTTTTTATTCCCCTCCTCCCTCCAAAAAAAAGTAGTGTTAGTAATAGCAATACCAAGGATGTTCTCAAATAAATCTCCAAAGATATCAAACTTTACAGGAATTAACTGTGGTTTATCCATTTTGTGGGAGTTTTTTTTTTTTTTTTTTTAAATCTAAGATAATTAAAATATATAACCTTAGATTTGAACGTTATAGCACATAAAAGTGGGAGGGCCAAATAAAATAGGCAAGTGTGACCCATCACTTCCTCTGTAGAATTGCTAATGATCATTCATCTTTTTTTTCTAATTTTGCAATCGTTTGCAAAATTTATAATTCCTAAATAGATTAGAAATAAGGCTTGTTTTTTTATCTTTTAATTATCAAATATTTCTTGAGAACCGACTATTGTCAATTTCTTTTATATTGGATTTCTAAGAAAAAATATCTACAAGAAAGTTAATTAATTGCATTATTTGGCTTTCTCAATGAATTGATTTTTGACTGTAATTGGAAATATTCGAGTGAAAATGAAACAAAAAAATAATGAATATTAAAAAAAAGTAGTCACTCAATCGATGAACAACTTGATTTGACATGCAGAGATCTTTTTTTATAAATTAAAAATATTTAACTGATTCAAGTAGATTGCTTTCATATGACAATACATGTGCAAGTGAGTGACCTTCTGTGATTGCATTTAATAATGACTTTTGTTTAACATAAGTATTTTTTGTCAGCTGTTGTTTTTTGCTTGAAAATGAAAAATAGTGGAAACACTTTGATGTATGTAAATTAAACTTCATAGATGAAATCTTCTTAGTAATTTATTAATTATTTTTACTTTTATTTCCTTTGCTTTTAGTTAGTTATTATTATAACACCAAGATTTTAATTCCACAATTACTGGTAAACAGCATGGATCAAAATCAAAGAATAAGCCTTCAAATAAACTCACACACACATCCTCTGTCCTTGGAAATCTGCCTTTCCAATTAAGCTTAAAAGGCTTTGAGCAAGCAAGTGAAACCTGAGAATCTTGGCAAAGACCATTCTTCTTTGAACATAGTGAACTGGTGTTACAGAATCACAAATGAAGAGCTGTACCAAATAACAGAAACCACATCACTTGAGGACTACCAACAGTGGCAAATAATAAAATGTACAGCACATATAACTCACAAGCCTGGTCAGTACCTAGATAGGTGACCACTTGAGAATATCAGGTGCTGTGAGCTTGGATATGCAGGCGGTGTAATGGATAATTGGGGAGCTGTGTTCCAATTTGATATTTTTTGGCTTTAGATAATGTTGTATCCTTAAAAATGTTACAAACAGACAAAGTTGGTACAGAAGTGAAAGGAACAGGCGTAGATGAAAGAAAGAGAGGTTTATCATAAAAGAGAATACACTACTGAAAGACAGGAAGTTGGTTAGCAGGCTAGCAATTCCCCAAAGCCAGTCTCAGGTATATCCTGTGCACACTATATATATTTACTGATATAGTCAGTCCACAATAGACATTAGGGAGGGTAGAACATTCCATTACAACACATAACCTGCAAAGGGTTGATAAGCTTAGAAAACAAATTAATCAATCAACATGTAACTCAGAAGAGAAAATAATGACATAATCAAGATGTTAACATTCCACACTACTTCAAACAAAAGGTTAGGAAGAAAACCGCCATCAATTCTGGAAAGAATAATAGCAACTACTGGATTTGGAAAACTGATTTTCCTGAAAAATTTTTTTAAAAGATAGATTTTATGAATTTCAACTGAAAGCCGTATTAGCTGCTCAGTCAATAAATACCAAATGTTTCCTTATAAGGGAATGGCTAATCTTACCATTACAATGGTTTCTGGTAACAGTCATATAGATGTAGCTATTATTATTTAGAATAATATTACAAACAAAAACCCATTTGAAATGTCAAGAAATGTAGCTAAATATTAATGATTCATTTTTTTATTCATGATTATCCACTCTGTAAACCAAGACTGAGGAAAAGGTAAATCAATGACTTAACACAAATCAATACAATTGTATATTGAAATAATTTCACTTTGTTGCCTTTTAATACAAGCAGACCAGTTTGAAAAATATCAGATATCAAGATATGGAGCAGAAACACTTGCATTTCTTTGAGTTTATTGACCGACTCTTTGAATTATTATTGACTCAAGACTTTACTGGTTGAAGTTAAAGTTTTATTGACAAACTGTTGATTTTTTTTTTTTTAAATCAAGGTGAAAAGAGTACAATGAACTACATTTATGAATGATACACCTAAAAATTTGAGGTTTTATTTGTTTAACAACATATCAACTCCTTATGGGTCATTTAATGCTGAAATTTAATTTTCTTGAGAGTATTAATAATTTCTTTTACAAAAATGTATTGCTGATAATATTTTTTCTTTTTTTTTTTCTTTTTTTATTTTATTAAAATGGATTTTGCTGGTAAAATATTTTTTTCTTACAAAAATATATTTCTGGTAATTCCTTTACTATGAAAAGGCATTGCTGGCACTTCTACTACTAAAATGTATTTTTATACTTTCATAGTTTTTTTATCCCAGTTTTTTTTTTGGGGGGGGGGTCATTATTTGCTCATAAATGGGACCTGAACAGGTGCTACCACCCTGGGTCAAGGTCGACCTGGGAACAACAGCAATTAAGAGATGGTTCCACACTCCTCAAAACCTGATCAGAGGCCTTGCTGTCAGATGTAGCATTAAAACCCAGAGAGAAGTTTTATTTGTAATTTCTTCTTCTTCTTCTTCACTAGCACACAAGGGATTACAGAGAGTTGGAGAGAGAGCAAATAGGAGTGATAGAGGAAAGGATGAATAGAAGGATAGGGGATAGATCGAGGCATCTCAAGACATTGATTGACATTACATTTGAATAGTTCAAGATTATAGCTATCAGGAAGAGGGGAGGGAGTTCCACAGGCGAGAGGTGTGAGGCATGAAGCTATTGGAGTAGAGACAGCTACATTTAACAGTTTCGACAGTGAAAGGGTGTGAGCGAGATGCCAGCCTAGTAGAATGCTTAAATTCATGAAGTTTGGGAACCAGCAAAAGCAACTCCACGGAGCAGTTACCCCGAAAGTATTTGTAAAAAAGACAGAGGGAGATGATGACACATCTGTGAGAGAGCGACTGCAGATGAGATGCCAGATCAGGGCCAATTACATTGCATATCTGTCTCTGGATCTTATCAAGAACCTTGAGACAAACATAAGGAGCACCAGACTATATATGGCAGCAATACTCCATGCAAGGCCGAACGGTTGATTTGTAGATTTGAAGGATCGACTCCGGCATGAAAAATTTACCCCAATGGTAACATTACAAGTTATTAGGTTGGTG